TGACAGATTTATTTCTTTATTCGTTCGAACCATAACTTTCACACCTGCTGCATTAATAAAACTTGGCCCACTTATTGCACGAACTTAGTCAACATCTCACTCGCCTCAAAATATCATCGTCCCAGCAGTCCTACGTTTACAACGACAAGCGAAACTAATTTCCCACTGAGAGCAATTATGGCGGCGGACGTCTTGCTTTTCGGAAAATTGCTCAAACCCCTTTTTCGACCGCAACTAAAGAAATTACCCCTAAAAACTACTCAAACTCATTACATAATAAGCGGAGAACAGCTAAATGCCCTTCTTAAATCTGCCCTAGCACTCATGCAACGTCACCCTCAACTTATCGGCTCACAAAGCAAAAGCTCCGTCCGTGCGCGCTTCCGCCGCCACAGATTCGCATGCGAAAAGGCTCCGCAGACTGCTGAGCGTGCCTCACTGTCGAACGCCAGCTCCTCCGATAGCGGCGCTACGCGCGTTTTTCAAAGCGCCCCCTATAGTTCCCGCACCGAGGGTATACTCCAGTCCCTTCATTATTAGCAAACATCCTGGAGAAACGAATTCTCCTCCAGGGAAGGCTCTTGTCTACGTGGGGAACGACTGGCCTCAGCACCAAGCCGACCTCACCCCGTACTCCAACGACGGGCAGGAAATTGTGGCGGTGCGGATACAGGTCCAGCAGCACCACATCGTTCAAGTATCCATCTACTACAGACCGCTCAAGTCCGCGACACAGTAAAGAACCAACCTATGGATCTCCCAGATTCACGATTCTTAAGCCCAAAAAACAAAAACTTTAATGGCCACCACCCTATGTGGGGATACAACTATGAATCTCCGGGAGCGCACGACTTAGTGGGCGGAATGCATACCTTCCGCCTAAACCTAGTGAACAAGAAAGGAGTCAGAACATGACTAGGAGGTTCCGGGCAGTCGGATACCTCACCCGACCTCACTTGGACCACGAACCCATACATTCAACACCACAAATGGAAATGCCTACCGGATACGTTGCGTAGCGACCACTTCCCCACTGGCTTCGAATTCTCGCCGTCGAGACGGGTAAAGGACAAGGTTAAAAAACACACAGCCAACATCGTACACTAGGGCAAATTTAGGGAACCCCTTAACAGCGAGGAACTCGAGGACGCTGACCTTGAATCGCGCCTCAAAAACGTCCTGAGGACTGCAACGATCAAAAAGAACATCGATGAAGATACTCCCTACACCCGAACTCCACCTTCTCAAGCTCTGGGCCAAGCGACTGCAAACGGTACAAAAGTACCGTAAAGGGCCCAAAAGCACCGAAGCCAGACGCAGCATAACCAGGGGTACGGTGGAAGCGCATGTCTACGCACAAAAACTCGACGAACACCGCTGGCTCGACTACAGCGCATCGCTTTCCGAGAAAAAGTCGATATCGAAACTGTAGGCCACGAACCGCGCGCGCTACTTGGAAAGAATAAGTGCAAAGGGTCAACACTCACACTTGTGCTTAAGGTTAAGAGACTGAGAAAACCCTCGCCGGAATGGCAGGGGACCTCTTTTTTGCCCAGCCCGACTTGACGAATTGTCCTTCGCCATACCGCCACGGAGTCCTGGCTCCGGATTACGGCATGGACCGACCCTTCACGCGGGGCTAGCTCGAAATCGCTTCTCAACGCAGAAAAACCCACACAGCACCCGGACCCGATAAGATCACCATGACAATGCTGAGAACCCTCCCAGATCTTACCAAACCCGAGCTTCTAGGGTGGATTATTAAAGTCTGGGATGACAGGCAAGCTTCCCAAAAGCTGGAAACACTCCCTCGTCATCCCGATCCCGAAGCTGGGCAAGGACAAAGGTACCCTCACAAACTACAGATCGATCTCCCTTGCCTCTTGCACCTGGAAGATAAAGGAGGGCATGGTACTTTCAAGAATAGAATGGCTTCTCGAATCCAACAAATCTTTTCACTCGGCCCAGAAGGGGTATCGACCCGGCGTCGGCACCCAAGAAAGCCTGGCTTTGATATCGGCCGATATCATTCGCAACATCAACCCTGACCCTGGTCCAAATGCCCACAGAGTACCCACAGAAAATTAGTGTTTTGAAAATCTCTGTGGTTTCAGGCTTGTGGGCATATGGGACATGTGGTTTACTGTCTGAGGTGCTTTTGGTAACCCACACTCTTAGAAAAAAGGGTATCGATAGTCCTTCCTTAGGGGAGGAAGGGTCTTGTAAACTATGTTCCTTTAGAAAGAGAGAAACCTTCGCCCCTGAAGCAGGGGTACAACTAGTTCCTCCGTCGCCTGCATCTCAATATGGCGGCTTTGAATCGAGCAAATCGAGCTCAACAAAGCTTAACAAGGACGCTGCGTCTCTTGTACGGGACGAGAGGAGCAGCAAATAGAAGCGTAACACGAGCTTTCCGCGTTAAACGGAGACAACCGATACCCCGTTACTTCGCGCACTTTACGTCTTACCTTTGGTGTTCCTCGAGTCAGAATTCCTTCGTCAACCCCACATCAGGGAGGAATGGCGAATTGAATCCGCGCAACCAAAAGCCGCTTTCAAAAGAACGATGTCGAAGCCGCCGTTTATCGCGTAGCATGGCGTAACGTGAAAGAAGGTTAAATCGCTTGCCACCAGATGGCAGGTTCAAGCAGAGTAATTGCAAGTAGCTAGGCTAAGTGGCGCTACTGCCCAATTCATGTTCTACAAAAAATTTTTTTATTTCCTCAGGCCACTATTACGCTTCGGGATGTTTGCGAACCTCAACTTTGCAAACACACACGCATACTACAAGCATCAGGTGAACATACGTCGAGCACATACACTGCACATACAGAGATCAATACAACGGTGTTCGGTTTAGTCTCGGTGACTAAACCGAACACCACACCCGGGCTCTCCGTTTACGTCGTTTATACTGGTCGTTTTGAACGTACGGAATTTCTCGGTGACTGAATGAGCAATAAAAAATATTCTCAGCATGTTGATTTTTTTCCAACAATGTCATACCTCTGAGAGTATTTCAAATGGCTCAGGGGATAAATCTCTTATTAAAAACAAACGCTCGATCATGCCGTAATTATTTGAAAGCCAATAAGTTAAGCCACTCCAATGCGGTTCGAAGCCTTGAGTTTGTTTCCCCGCATGGCGTGTCGTAGCCTGTATTTCTATTGTAGTGGTTGTTTTTCTATTAGTGCTGTTCGCGCAAGGCTGTAATTTCCGTCTTGAATTAATCTCTGCAGACCGGATATTCACTCAGCTGGAAGCGATGCTTCACGCGCTGAGAAATCGCTTTTCGATCAACTTGAATACAGTCAAAGCCGCGACTTGCGGCAGGTGTTAAGTGTACGGAGTTACGCCGTGGCGAGCTCGAAAACTTCTAGCGCTCATACCAGCGCGCCACTTGGAGGGCAGTTTCTCCGGAAACCGTAGCATATTTAAAAAAGGAAAATAAAGGGTAACTTTTTTGTCTCGAATTTACCTACTATTTGTTTTTACTGCTAAAATTCCACACTGTAAATATACGTACTTTCCGTCACGATTTTGTACTGCTCAGTCCTTTCCCCAGAGCGTAATCGCTCTCGGAGACGAGACAACCGACAGTCACATTGGCCACTGTACGATAGGAGCTTACTGTTCAGACCAGCGTTCCAACATGACTATCCGCACGTCGATCGACTGCACCTAATCCTTCAAGTGGCATTAAACGTTCCATTGTAAAGAGGGATGTCAACCTGCGACTCTCCTCCCCCTCCGATCCCGGCCCGACCAGCGGCATCAAGGCCCGACAGTTTACGTAATCTCGTCTTGTTACACCACTGATACGCGAACACAAGGTCACATCGGCGATAATTCCAGTCTTCTGTTCACAACCCACAACACTGCCATCACGATGTTGCTGCTATGTTGCTGACACGCACAAATACAAAACCAAGTTGAACGCCGGTTGCACACGGCATCGGAAAACAAAACCGAACTCAGCACGGAAGGCACCCAGGCAGCCGGCAGCAAAACCCGCCTGTCTTGGACGCAGTTCCTGCGATTTCCATAACGTCAAAAACGTCGACACAGTTCCGCGTGGTTTCGCTACTGTAGCATAGAGAAATATAGTACTACATAAAGAGTGGCCACTCAAGCCGTTTCGCGGCCCAGGAGCTAGGGACTCTACCGGCCGTTTTTAGGCGCAAGAGTGCCACTAATTCTGTACATTTGTCAGATATAAAATATTAATAAATAACTTTGTTGTATAGAGTAAACTTCTAAAATTATTGCGAACATGAAAACTTTCAAAAACGACTTCAACGGCGTTGGCTATGGCTGCGGCGGGACGGTTGGCTTCGGAGTCGTGGACTCGACGGAGGGCGGATACTTCGGCTGCTTGGTCTGTGTCTCGTGCCTCGATGTGTGGGTTGAGTAGGTTCGCGGGTTCCGTGGCTTGTTGTCTCGTGCGGGTTTCTAGTCATTCTTCCGTTTCGGTGAAGGTGAGATGTTTTGTTCAACCTGTATTTTGTTTGTTTGTTATTGTGGGGTTTGGAGTGTATTTGTTTGCAAGTGGCGTAGTGCGCCGGTCCATGGTACCGGCTTTTTCTACTTTGAGCTGTTAAGAACTGGCGAGTAGTAAAACGGTGTCAAATTAAAGATATGCGTGATTTCAAACATCTGACTGCCGCCATATGGCTCCATTTGCTTTCTCAAGCTCGTTTAACTGCAAGCCTGCCAAACTTAGGTTTACACGCTTGCGCGCATTCGGCGCTGACTTGCTGAAAGCGCGATATTACCGTGCGGTATGCAAGTAAGGGTTCTAGGTTGTTAAAGTTTGCATATGATTATCTCGAATGTACCGTTGTACTTTCTTGCATCACGACCCCAGAATGCTAAGTAGACCACAGTTTATGATTGAAAGAAGAAATATTTTTCCAAAAAGTTTAGAAGTATAGGTTCCAGTTTTTATAATTTACGATGACAAGTGTTTTAAATTTTTTTGTATAGCTCTCGTCACTGGGATGTTTGGCTATGGCAACTACTGCTGCATAGCCTGGTGTAGAAACAATGGAAGAACGCGAAAGACGCCAGGAACAAAGTTCTTTCGGGTTCCCCGGGACGACAGGTAAGTTAAGATCTCCTTTTGTGTTTGTTCTAACAGCGTACTGAATGCACAGTTCACCTGTGAAAGTGTGGGCCTGAAAACATAATGTTTGAACAAATCTCGTTTTATGACTGCAAAGGGATTTTTATCTGCTCGTAATGAATGCAACTGGAAACTTTCCACTTCGCCCTAAGGACTGTGTAGTGAATAGTCGTAGAGAGTGATCTTAACAAAAGTTTGGTTGCCAAGTAGCGAATTACACAAAAAATTATACTTTTTGTAGGACTCGATTAAGATTGTGCAAAAGGCTCGATTATTTCTTTTATATATGTGTTGGACCATCATAATTTATACAAAAGCTGTAAAGCACTAACTTGCGAGAAAAACACTGTTTTCTGGCATAGGAAAAATTTACTTGGGCCAGTTCGTCAACACCGACTTAGTACTCAGTATTCCACCTGTCTCTCGTGGTAGCTACAGTGATTGGGTTACTACTTTTGTGTTTGCAGCTTTGCGGAACTCTTGAGCTATCGGAAATATGATGTATGTGCGCGTTTATACGACTGGAATGCTTTCAGGCAATATTATTTCACTTATCAGCTCCAAGTGGCGCCAAAATACATAGATCACCATGGCCAGGCAGCAATATGTTTGACCGAGGCGCCCATTTTACAATAGTGAACAACAATACATTTTGCAGGTCGAAGGCCTGGATCCAGTATGCGAACAGGGACGACCTTCTGGGTAAACAAGCGACTGAGCTGTTCATGAAGTATCGCATCTGTAGTGATCACTTCTTAGCACGAGACTTCATGAGTCCTGCAAAAACGAGGCTGACAAGAACTGCAGTGCCTTCTGTTCGCCTCGAGGCTCGACGGGAAACTGGCACAGTTCAAGGTAATGCTTTGTTTACCTCTCCAAGCACGTGAAGTGTATTAATAGGGGTGCATTTTGTTTGTGGAAATAGTGCTTTCATTGCTTCAAAACGTACCACCAGTTTTTAGGCGCATAAATATGTGTCTAATCGACAAACTTTTCTAGGCCATAAGGAGGCGACCACTTCTGGCAGCACACCCTCAACCGGCTGGCCCTTGGCTTCTTCAATGGTTGCCCATGGTAAGAGAGACCTTCATTTGGAAACAACAAGTATCTAATCGACAAACTATTGCAGACCACATGGAGGCGACCGGTCCTGGCAGCACGCCCTCCACCAGCAGCCCCTTGGCTTCTTCAGTGGGTGCCCATGGTAAGAGAGACCTTCATTTGGAAACAACAAGTATCTAATCGACAAACTATTGCAGACCACATGGAGGCGACCGGTCCTGGCAGCACGCCCTCCACCAGCAGCCCCTTGGCTTCTTCAGTGGGTGCCCATGGTAAGAGAGACCTTCATTTGGAAACAACAAGTATCTAATCGACAAACTATTGCAGACCACATCGAGGCGACCACTCCTGGCAGTACACCCTCCACCAGCTGCCCCTTGGCTTCTTTAGTGGGTGCCCATGGTAAGAGTTAGCTTCTTTTGGAAACAACAAGTATACACTCCGCGCGACGCGACCGGCGCGCCGCCGCGCGGCCGTTACCGAAGGTAGCAGTGAGAGCCCCAGCGAAACGAAACCACGCCGCGTAGATTGGTACGCGTTGAAGTCGGAGCGGTGCGGTTGCGCTGGGTTGACAGCATGAACTGCTGCGTCGTTAAGTGCTCCAATAGCTATGCGTCGTATCTCGTGGGGACGAAGTTTCACAGTTTTTCATTTCGCCGATGTTTTGTGGGACAGCGACAACGATGGACCCGTGCCGTACGACGCAAGATATTTGGTCTCCCGATCATGTCTGCCACTGTGTCGGCACGGCTGACATTTTCTACAATGCCGCTTTGCGGTCTGCGTTTGTTTTCGTACCAGTAACGCCTACATATCCCAGCTCGAACTGAAATGCCATCCCACACTCGCGGGTATGCAGTGCGAATTTCGTTGAAGGAATGCCCTCCAAGGAAGTTTCGTCCCCATCGTACGTGTGGATGATATTTCCCGACCAGTGTGGCACGCAGTCTGTACTTCATGAAGAAAGATTCGGACGGTACAAAAAGTGACAAATATTAATCTAAGGAAACCTACAATGAAACTTGGAATCAATGGACAATCGATGTTTCTGTATGGACGTTTATGTGGTGTGCTTTCTTTTTTGATCAGCCTCTTTTTGTATGTGGAAACGCTGGCACCCCGAGTCTTGTAGACAACATTTTTGTAGGGTAGAGATTGCTTAGACATGACAGCTCTAGCAAGAAGACAAAAAAAGTCTGGCAGACACGACGCTCCGAACACAGCTTGAAGCCCAATGTCAAAATTAAAAGGAGAATGATAAATCAAATGTCTCCCAACAAAAAAAAAAAAGAGGCAATATGATTTTTAAGAAAATCGTCAGCCACTTTCGCGTTGCATCGGAGCACCACCGAAGCTAACTAGGTTATGCCTCAAAATAAACAAAACAGCAAAGCATGCGCACAAAAAAAACATGCACGCAAACATGTGGACTGCGCCAGATCGGTAGTCTAAAATACCAACCACATGTGGGCGATCGTACGGGTGTAGCATTATAGCCTCACGTGCAGAGTCCCTGTGCGAGCTTCAACCAGCATTGTTCCATGTTGAGGGTCTACAAATGACGGCATGATCACGCTACACACGCTCGCGTGCACACTTGCTGTCTCTTAATTAAAAGCAGAATGCTCCGCCGTCACGGTGAGGACCCGGCCATATGATCTGGGGATTCGCGTCATGGGCTTCTGATCAAGCTGGCCTTTTAAAGGCGGGGCTAAAGGGTGGGGTGACAGTCGTGGGGCATTTGACACGGGCTTTTGACATCGGCTGCTTCTGTGCACCACCAGATCGTACACAGGGCATGAACTTTCTGTAAAGCGGTATCCCTTGTGGAACTTGGCAGTTCACTGTGATAAGCGTTTGTAGGATTTTTTGCTAGATAAAATACCTATACCGGGCAAGTAGGTACCGAAAACAGAGGGGAAAATTTGCGAGGCATTCAAAATCAGTGTAAAGAAGGATGACGGTTGCATCAGTGCGTCGTCACTCGTTTCATCAAATCAGAAATTCAGATTCGTTTGGGGTGAGGTTTAGTAATGTGTGTATATATGTTCGTGTTTTCCAAAAAAAATTCAGTAGCCAGTAGCGCTCCGAGTGTGCACTCGTACTTCTTTGTGCTGTTTTTTTTTTTTTTTTTTAGCGCTTTGAATCTGACGTTATTTCCGGCTAAATTCTAAATCAAAAACAACGTTATCCTCTGCTATCACTGCCTTGGTCACCGTGCCACGTTGGAGGCATTCAGCGTGTTATTGTGGCAGCAGTAGCGCCGTAAAGTCATAGAGCCGTCCTTGTATAACCACGTTTCAGAATATGTTCTTGTCCTGTCAATCGCAACGGGGTTCTTCACTGGACACGAAATGGAGTCGATAAACCCGTAGTTAGAGTACGACGCTTTTTTCTCGAGGTCATAGAGTCAACATAATAATCTGGAACGAAAGGTCCCATGCATTTGGCCGCGACGTAACAACGAGGCAATGACGCGGACATCGGCAGCCCCAATTGGCGGCCCCGATGAGCCCATATCGAGACATTTCTGATCGCAGTTTTCGGTCCCCAGAAACAAACATACGGTATTCATATCAAGATTGGTAATGAAATAAAAGAAATTCTTCATGCACCTTTTGCTCATGTGTAGTCATAAAATGATGTATTTTTATCCGGGTCTCTGGAAAAAAGTGCCGAGGTTTCGTACGGGTCATCGAAAAGCTTTTGTCCGGCAGAACTCTTGTTCGAGATTCATGGATTCATCAGTGACGATGTTTACATTGCCCGCACAGATTATAGTCACGTGACCTTGTGACTATTATATGGAGCGCTATTTCCACTGTAATTACGTGGTGGCTCCAATCTGTTTATGGTTACAGACGACCGACCGGCGGACCGTTACGGGCGCGTAAAGTGCGCAGAGCTCGCCCATAAATGCTATCGCAAAGCAAGCTATGTGGTGAAACGACACAATTCTCGTTTTGATAAAACCGTCGATGGGACAGCGCAGTGTCGACGAGACGATTTTGTCGATGAAGCATCCTCCAACAAACTGATTGCCATAGCGGATCAAACACGTCGATAAAACCCATTTTCCGGATTGCTAGTTGGAGGGGTTATTAATCATATGATTTGCGTAATACCGAGGCAAAAGAGAGCGGGTCCACTACTGAAGGAATGCCCCCACTGAACAAGAGCTCACGCGTTGAAAGCATCCGCCACAGTAAATATATTCAAACCAACATGTCTGAAAAAAAAAAAAAAAAGTAGATTGGAGAGTGTTTAGCGTTTTACAGAGATAGCTCTTCGAATCTCTAGAACCCGTGAACGGTTCTACTTGCCTTCACTACAAAAACAGATCTCAGCTTAATATTTGAATGATGAACTGTCGTAAAGTACCAACCTATGAGAGACTAATCGAAAATTATTCATTCAGTTATTAGCGCACTCTTCCCGCGGATGTTTATTTGTACTATTTATTTATAAAATGCCTACAGTATGCAGAGGGCACTATTTTAGGGATTAATTTCGTACATAAACTATCAAATTGTCACAGATAGAGAAACACAGCGAACGACTACATAAAAGTCCAGTTGTCAAATTGAAAAAAAAAAAAGCAGGAATAATAAAAATGAACACGATGGATCAAGAGCACAGCACTCAAATATCACGCCAATGTGGCACTATACAGGCATCACTGGTGACCCGTATTCTCGGAGATTACTCCAATCACAGATCAATTTTCGGGGAAAGAAGAAAGAAGATTATTCAAACAACTACAATCTGTTTCTAAAAGTGGTAGCTTACGTTAAAATCACGTACGTTACTTTCGCGAGCACTCTGCTCGTGAAATAGATGCGGGTGGCTTCCAGCTTTTCTCCTGCACTTCAAAATACTACAACAACACCAAAATATATTTCCGCGCGAATGCTGCACGTGCCCGAAGCTTGTCCTTAAAGAGCGAAGGCTACCGGCACGAAAGTGCAGCCTTCAGAGGTGTTTTCGCGGAATCACCGCTTGCGCTAAAAATTTATGTTTCAAAAAGAGGATTACGCTCTAGCCCGCGCGTGTCGCTGACTGGTTGGAGCTAGGAGAGCATGAGGAGCTCAAGCTCATTCTACAGAACCGTGCTATGAACACCAGAAATACATCGTCTCACCTCAGCATGGACCATTTTTGGTCACACGTGCTAAAAGCGCGAGCTAATTGTTTTGGATGACGCCTCGGCGGGCACACGAGCGCTCGCGGGTGCACAAGCACTGACACAGCATCTCCGGTTCATTCTGAGGTGAAACTTAGTATAGCGCGTGATGCACGTTAACGACCTCAAATTAGCAGTCGTGCTGCACTAGCTAAGCGTGTCTCATGTACAGCGTGAACCAGTGTCGCAAATCTTGAAAGGCAGACCGACTTCACGCTGAATAATCTCTCACGAACAATTTGACCTTTGAATCCAGTGTACACCAACTCATTGCGTGTAAACAAGCACGTGTTTGCACACAAGAGCTCCGCGCGCTCGACGCGCGGCATGTACCCATTTCCCGAAGTGTGAAGCGTTCGGCCATGCTCCGTTCAACAGGCTGCGCCACCGCCAAAGCGCGACGTCATAGATTTGGTGTAGGTGGGACTCTTGTTTAAATAACGATTCACTATGGCACATCGACTGTAATTTCGCCCCCATTTGCTTTGAAATAATGTTTTCATTCGAAATACTATCTATAGATTACAAATGACGAGTCACTGATCATTTATACGCCAGGCGAGCACGGGATGGCGGCCCCTCTCATTGGAAATGCACCGGTGATTTCGGCACGGGTGTTTATTTCAAATTTATAATATAAGCGCACCTGACCTGTCCTATCAAAAAGATGTTTGCTTTTTTTGGCAGCAATGACAGCAGGGTTGCACAGAAGCCTATGTGCATTTAAGCACGTCCCTTATTATAGGGAACATTTAATCGAGAAGCGTAAGTAAGGTAAACTAACGTATGGTTATTTTGTATAAAAAAAAAATTAATACTTCTGTCATATAAGTGCACACGTCAGTACTTAAATGATTGTGTTGTTACCCATGAAGCACGCGTGAAAGACACCTTCTGAAAACATATGGAACAGATACTTTTATGAATATATTAATTAATTCATTTATGTATTTTTTGTGTTCACAAACATAATAAATAAATTATCGTTGTCCTATATATTTATGCATAATTGCGCATGGAATACCTACTATCAATGACACATTTATAGTGTCACTAAATTTTAGTTCTGTGAAGATGCCAAAACGGTATTCGGTCATATATTCCGAAACCGTTCGTAAAATCAAAAACAAAATTAAAGAAAAAAAATGGCAGCACTACTCTACCTAGGCATCCTTCGCAAGGCATCCGTTCTAAAGTTCCGGGAAACTTGCTCGTGGGCAAAACGATCTT